TTGACGTGCGTTATTCACCACGTTTGTGTAGATAGAGTTTTCATGTCTGCGCAGATCTCTGATGCCAAAATTCTGGAGAACGACATCCCCATTTTCCTTGTGCAGTTCTCCACACAGGAGATGATGCTCTTCCGCAATGCAAAGACCCGCGAAATCGTCGTCGGTGCTGAAGACAAGGTCGAGCAATGCATGTACGCTGCTGCGATCACACGAGTAGAAGAGGAGCTCGATAATGAGCTTACGGGTGGGTGGAAGGTCGTGGAGGTAAGGCATTCTATTGACATCCACTGCGTGGCATCTGTATTGATGCCCTTTCACTAGATGGCGCGTAGAAGTGCACGGGCATATTTATAATTTAATGCACATACACACACTTATACCAAAAGTACTACTAATCTCTCATAGCACAGACAACTCACTTTAATCGGCGCATCCAGCATTAGCAGGACATACATGGTGCAAATGTGTGCTGCCGTTCTTAGGACTGCCCCATCAACCTCGTGTTGTCATCCTCTTTCACAAATTAATCTGGGCAGTAGGGGGCTGCCCGCGAATGCGGACCCGCGTTGCTTTTTCCTGTTCGTGGTCTGCAGAGTGCTGTGACGTCTGCTTTCTTAGACGCATCACAACTCGATGGATGACGCGACTTCGCACCTGCGCTTGCATGCGTGGCCATCGCTTCGGGTACCCAGCTATCCTTCCATTCGGTTGAAGGGCTTGAGGTTTCGGGTTTTTCCGCAACTTGTACAGACGGGGTTCCCAAATGAGGCAGTCCTGGCCTTCGCATCTCTTATTTCGCATTCCAGCAAACCGCCGTGTGGCGTTAGCATGCAAGTCTCTTCGAACAGTCACGACTCACGAATGCACAAGTACCCCGAGCGTCAAGATAATCGCACTGCTAGAGAGAATCCCATGTATGGTGAGAACAAATCGCTGCAGTATAAGGAACGTTGGGAAGTCAGTGTCATTGACAGGATGTCTGCCTTTGGCAAGACGCGACGTGTCCAGGAAACACTCTCCCTTATCTTGGTCTTGACCGATACTTCGGTGAACATCGAGATACACCATTACGGATGGCGACGGTCGATATACATGTACCTTCTGTATCACTGGAATGTAAGAGAGTTCGTGTGAAGTTCGTAAATGCGATACTACTGAAGTAGTATCTTTTTTTGTGTAGCAAGGCTAATGGCGCCGCGTCGGTATACCGTTTTATGAGATCGCCGCGACGGTCTCCGCCGCCATTTTTATAATTCGAATCCTAATTCGATACGCCGGCGATGTGACAATTTACAACGGACGTGCGGCGACAGGCGGCGACTAAGAATTCACTGCCACCGGAGTGTTTCTGGGCGCGTGCATCGCCATTTGACTCCGGAAAGCTGGGTTGAACTTGCAAGCTTAGGCTGGAGAGCGATCTGAACATCCAAGCGCTCGTGGGTACTTCCACGATCTTTCTCCAGAAGTGTGGCTTGTTGTGCACATAAAAGCTATGGCAACAAAGCACTGAAGATGTTGGATTCGGGAATTCAGTTGATGGCTATATATGTCCTATTCCGCGATGTCACCGAGTCGGCCGGGTCACTGGCAATTGCCCTAAGAAGCGTCCCTTGTTCTTCGCGGACGTGCTCCCTTCGCACCGTTTCCAAGTTTTGAGCGCGAGGCTCCCCAAGCTCAGAATACGCTCAGGATGAACGTTTAAACGTTTAAACATCGAAATGGCTTGTGCTAAAGATGGCACATCTATGGGTTTCTTGCCAAAATTAGCGGCAACGTACGGCCTGCCCCGATCCAGTCCAGAGGCGCCCGGACCCGCGTTCCATCGGCTCGCACATTTCGATATTCCTTCCCCTCGTCACGCTCGGTCACACTCAAAATCTTCGCGCGTTGCCATCCTTCAGTTCACTCTCTGTTTTATCGTTTCTTTCGACGCGCGCTCCTCCCTTCCACCACGCTCGAAGAGCTTATCTTTCCACTCTTTTGCTTATCATGCGGTCATTAGATTTGACTTTGGCAGCATCTCTGTTGTTCCTTCCTTTTGCGAGTTGCTCTGGGTTCGCGCGCGACCGTCGCCATCATGAATTAGCCCACCAGTACCGGCCACGAAGCATTACGAACGACTCTTCCTCCATCTCCGACTCTTATGACTTCGTTATTGTCGGTGGTGGCACGGCAGGTACGTTTGAAGTATGGACATCTCATACATAAATTTCACCGTTGTAGGTCTTGTCCTTGCTTCGCGCCTCTCCGAGGATTCCAACCACACCGTCCTGGTTCTTGAGGCCGGTCAGTCTGGCGACGAGGTCGCCGACCAGATCAGTGCGTTTTTTATTCGATGCTACGATCACTATTTAACTGCCCTCAGACACGCCTGCCGATACCTACTACAGCTCTCTCGTCGGTACAGAGTACGACTGGCAGTACAGTACCGTTGCCCAGACGAATGCCAGTGATCGAAAGATCACCTGGCCTCGTGGAAAGGTCTTGGGTGGTAGCAGCGCCATCAACGGAATGTACTTCGTACGTGTTGCACCATTTCCAACTGGCGACAGCCGTTTCACTGAACTAAATTTATCCTAGGTCCATCCCAGTTCCCTTGAGCTTAATGAGATGTCCGCACTGATGTCTTATAACTACGATGATGCCGTCGATCTCTGGGGATGGACGAACTTTTACAAGAACCTCGTTGCTGTCGAGGCATTCACCGCGCCGAGTGAATCTGTCGCCAAGCTCGCAAACATCTCGTACGATTCGTCGCTGCATGGTACTGACGGCCCCATCCACACGACGTACCCTGCTGAGTGCGTGCAATCTACCTTTCCAGTCCTATATGATCGCGATGTCTAATTTTCTACTGAACAGCGAATTCGGTCTGAATGGCAATTGGACACCGACACTCAAGAATGTTGGTATCGAGGCCTGCGAGGACCCCTCTGCTGGCGATAATTGGGGCTCGTTCATTGCGACGTCGTCCATCAACCCGGCCAACTGGACCCGCTCATATTCCCGCTCCGGTTACATTGACAGTATCTCTCGTAGCAACTTAGACATCCTCACTAATGCGCAGGCGACGAAGATTAACTGGTCCTCTAACTCGAGCAGCGGTCTAGTTGCTGAGAGTGTCAGCTATGCTAGTTCGAGCACCGGCACTGTCAAGAATGTCACTGTTAACAAGGAGGTCATCTTGGTAAGTATATGGTATGCGGTTTGCAGGTCTATTCGTTAATGTTTGTGCAAGGCTGGTGGTGTTATCGGAAGTCCCCAACTCCTGCTGCTCAGCGGTGTTGGTCCTGAGGACGTTATCACCGGCGTTGGCCTCGACGTTGAGTACGAGCTCCCCGGTGTTGGTCAGTGATTCTTTTATTATCCTCTTTGCACCTTCCTGACTCCGAGGACAGGTCAGCATCTCCAGGATCATGTGTATGCGTACGTTGAATGGAACACGACTGCCGAGACGTCGGGTGCCTTGCATGACGCGGGCGACAACTCCAGCACGTTCATGTCGTACATCAATTCTGCCACTGCCTACGTCAACCTAACGGCGCTCTTTGGTGCGGACGAAGCAAAGAGCCTGATGAGTAACATCAGCAGCACGTATGACGCGGCGGCGGCCCTGGTTCCCAGCACAAATTCGAAGGTTCTTAACGGCTACCAGCACGTCTTTAACGCGACTGTCAGCACGTTCATGCCCAGCGAGATCGGCCAGGTTGAGATTCTTCTCAGCGTCACCGGCGACAAGACCGTCATTGTCCAAGTGGCGCTCCAGCATCCTCTCAGGTTGGTCGCGTCCTCCAGAGGCCATTCATTGTTCTGATACTAGGTTGCTTTTCCACAGCCAAGGCTCGCTCACACTGAACAGCTCTTCTGCGTTCGACTATCCCATTATTGACCCTCAGTATCTCGCACACTGGGCTGATCTCGAAATCCTCCGCGAGGGTATCAAGTTGGCCCGCACCATCGGTGAGACAGCCCCGCTCTCGGACTACCTTGATACGGAGCTCTCCCCTGGCTCGTCCGTCTCGACCGATGACGAGTGGGTTACATTCCTCCAGGAGAACACATATACCGAATACCACCCCTCAAGCACCTGCTCTATGCTCCCCGAAGACATGGGTGGTGTAAGTTGTTCTGTTGCTTGCGCTTATTTATGATTGTGTACTGATGATTTGTGCGTCGTTCGTGAACAGGTTGTTGATACCCAGCTCCTCGTCTACGGCACCTCAAACGTTCGTGTCGCTGACGCGAGCGTATACCCCTTCGAGCTCTCCTGCCATGTACGTGCTTTTGATTAATTTTTTTTTCTGGGCTTGACATGTGGCAACAGTTCGAAGCCCCTACTTATGCTCTCGCTGAAATTGGATCGACGATCATCCGTGACATCGCCAACGGTGTTTCTCTCCCCGGTTCCTCCTCATCGACGTCAGCCGCCGCGTCGAGCTCTGCGACTTCCACATCGTCCAGTAACAAGGCAAGTACGAGTGACACTAGCAGCACGAGCAGCAGCAACGATGCTGTTGCCGTCCCCCGCGGTGTCTGGTCGGCTGTCTGTGTAGCCCTCTCTGTCCTTGCCGGTATCCTGCTTCTATGAGTAGGATAGTTATTGCAGCTTCCCTTGTGCGAAGGCATTGTTACGGGACTGTAATGGGCGAGTGTCAACCGTTCCTCTGATTCTTGAGATTCATACATATACACTATCAATGCTGGCCATTCTCAGCATGCATCTGCTTACATACTGCTTGTGTCGCTTCTTCCTCTCTTTCGCTCCTCCCATTCATTTCAATAATATAACTTAGTGCCTGATGGACGGACATGCGGCTTTTTGCATATGGTTTGCTAGTGACATTTGATATCGCATTTGTCCGCACACAAGTATCTTTTCGACCGAATTTATAATGCTGTACATATATGTAAGTAAGCAGGGGACCGTTGCTGAAGGTTTTTCAGATCAAATATTCGGTTGTCTTCGTTTCGATTTGGATAGGCTGGCAATAGCCCACACAGGCCTGGTGGTCTAGTAGTATGATTCGCCCTTAGGGTTGACCATTGTTGTCATATTGGGCGAGGTCCCGGGTTCAATTCCCGGCCAGGCCCTGACGAACAGTGTTGTGAAAGTCTTTTGCTAATGCAGAGATGGTGTCCATACACTTTTCCCGCGACTTCAGAAGTATTCTTGTCTTAAGATGCGATGGGTATTTGCAGGCTTTGCCAAGTTGGGGGAGGAACTTTAGGGGAGATGTTCATCTGTCACGTGTGCGTGACACGGCGTTTACAACTACATGTTATTGTAGTGACGCGACAACGACATGTAGTTGTTTGCTCTCATCATCAGGCTTTTGCAAGCTATAGCTATATACTCTTGCGTCTCCGTCGCCGACCGGAATTTGGTCGTTCATTTACATGGTTTTTTTATTCTTGGAACGAGCACGTTTCCCATAATTCCCTCGACTTGGTCGGTCATTCGAGCGACACTCGAGGTTATATCACTAAAGCAATATTCAATTGGCGACGTCCTGCTGGCTCAGGCACACCTTACCCCATAAGAAAAGACTCTGTATCTGCCTCCGAAATGCTTGGAATGTACCATGATTTAGTTGTTTCCGGAGCGGCAGCGCTTTCGCTGCCCCTCGTCTCCTTCGCTTACGAACGTGTGCTAGTGCCCGTGTACGGGTCTGGTCCAACAAGTGCACATCTGGCCGTCACAGTTATGGGCGCCGTGTGTATCGCTGTGTCTCAGCCATGGCGGCTCCTACCTGCATCTTGGTTGCAGTATGTTCGTTTGATGCTTTTTCTTGCGCCTAATTCCACATATTATGTTGCCATTCTTTCTGCGCGGAGAGGGAATCCCGTACTTGGACCGCTGTTCACCCATTTGGTCGTGTTGGCTCCCCTGGTCTTCTTGCACGCTTCGCTCGTCATTGCGGTCGTGAGTGCAGTTCGCCGTTGTTGCAGATCTCATTTCCACGGGTTTTGTTTTTAGATTGTCGAATCGCGTCGGAAAACCCTCCCTGGCCCGGTCATGATATGGAGAGCTGCAGTGGCAGCCGTTTTTTATGTCGTTGTCGCGTTGATAAGCCGCGTCTGGCCAACTGTACCCATACTGAATTCCGTTTCGGAGAATGCCATTGTAAATAGTATTCCTCAATCGACAAACGTGAACTGATGATCGTCACAGTTCCTCATACTAGCATGCACTGCTTCATGCGCCTATTTTCTACAAAAATCTGCGGCCAGCGCTGTAGAGGACAAATCAAGCACCAAAAAGAGGAAGCAAACCCACAAAAAGACCGTGTCCAACAAGCAGGTGAAGTTTGTCGGCATTGCGCTCACTGTAGTTGGAACGACGCTGTGCAAATCTATCCTGTCGTCCCCCATCCTTCCTCACCCTCTTCGTGAGCCATACCAACATCCTACATATCCTTTGCGCATCCTTTCGTCTGTCGTATCCAACACTGGGTTGATTCTCGTGGGCGAAGCGCTCCCGTTCCCATTGGACGTGAAGAAAGAAAATGGAATGCTGGAAGACATCCGCTACCTCCGCGCGTCTCATTCGTTACTCGGAGGCGTCTGGACAGGGAAGCAGATCGGGATCGTCGACGACGTTGAGCCGCTCAGAGACTCGCACGGCACGCCTCTCGGCGACTCCGTCTACGGCACCTTTGTGGTACAGGAGGCCGTGCGTCTCATCAACAGCACTCGTCAGGGCGCAGCGGGCGTGTGGGAGCGCGGCCTTATCATGTGTGCATCCGAGAACATTTTTTTGTTGGATTTTGAACTGAAGTATTTATGATACAGTGGGCTTGGTACAGGCATCTCGGCGACAGGGTTTATGCGTCATAATATATCGACAACCATTATCGAGATCGACCCAGCGGTGTACGATGCCGCCCGCGAGTATTTTGCGCTGCCTGATCCGGGTCCTGGTCATGTCTTCCTGGAGGATGCTCGCGGATGGGTTGCGCGCAATCGTGCTGCAGCAAGGAGTATTTCAGGTAGCCCGACCTTTGATTTTGTCGTACATGACTGCTTCTCGGGTGGTGGCGTGCCAGGTAATTTGCACTGAAGCTGGTTGTATCTGCTTTTTTCGTGGTCTGACCTGCGACTAGAGCATTTGTACACTGTGGAATTTTGGGATGACATGAAGGCGTTGATGCAGCCGGAGGGAATCGCCGTCGTCGTAAGTGCTGTTTACCCGTTTATACATCTGGAACATGGAATTATGACAATTCGTAGAACTTTGCTGGCATAATCGATTCTCATTCAACCCGAATGATGTACCACACGCTCACTGCGATGTTTGGACAATGCCGTGCGTTCCATGATCAAATGCGGAGGATCCCGCCACAGGACTACACGACAGAATTTATCAACCTTGTACGTTCGCCATAATGGGTTCTATTAGCAAGACACTGAAGTTCCTCGGTCCCCAGGTCTTTTTCTGTACTTCGTCGTCAGAGCCGTTGACGTTTAGAAAGGCGTCGAAGGCCGATTTCCTGGGCTCTCCGTTACGCAAGTACATGCTGGAATCTTTGGCTGATCGGGAGATAGATTTGTCTGTGCTTCGCGCGACGCCAGAGGAGGATGCGAAGTGGGTGTTGAAGGATGGCAATAATCCCCTGGGTGAGCTCCAGAGGGCTCAGGGCGCACATCACTGGAAAGGTAGGTTCACTCTACCCTCTTCAAGGAGGTGTTGTGCTGAAGTGTCACCAGTGATGCGTCAAGTTCTGCCAGACATTCATTGGGAGATATTCTAGCCTTTGTAGAGTATGGTGCTCTCAATCTGTGAGCTGGTGTCACCTGTACTGCCCATTTAGCCGAATAAATTAGACGGCAGAGACTGACTCACCTCTGCCAACTAATGTGAGTTAGTTTCTATCGATCCTTACTGGTCCTCAGCGATCCCCCCAGGATCCTCTAGAACCTGGAAGTGTTGGTTTCACTGACACTAACCTAGCTGTGGAGGATGTCAAAATTTGATGCAGCGTGTCTGTGGTATGCTTTTGAATTCAGACTTTTCGTAGCAAAGGACAGATTGATACGGTAACCGCTGAGCGAGGGGTAACATTAGCATATTAAAATACCCACGCGTATATAGTGTGAGTGTTAGAAGCTGAATTATGCCAGAGTGGATGGTTACAGCTTGCAACATTACCCGCTGTCCATATTAAGCTCGTAAACCAGCCACTACGTCATTCGCGGTGTCCTCTTTATAAAGACTGCAACGAAACCTTTTTCTTCGAGCATGGTGTGGCGTTGTGGAAAAGTTCGGATCACGGACAATGACTCACGCTAAAAATACTGCCATTCTGCGACGTTGGCGCGCTCGTCTTTCGAATCGTTTTGATGGTCTGCAGTGGTCTGCGCGCTCGCATGGACCATTTTGAAGTGTCCAAGCCGCTCTAAGAAACGTACCTCCATTAAACCCGATTCGTCACGCGTCAAACTTCAGCTTCAAGCTTCAAATTTCAATGTCACATATCGCACACAGAGCGCGCGATGTAACTGGACTCTGCGCTTGTGGTCTGCCTTAAAACTACTACCATCATCCGCTAATCCTTTGTCTGCCACTGCTATCGCATCATCAACGAAATCTTTCTGAAGAACATCAGTACGTGAGTGCATGGACAAATTCGTATTCATCTTGAATAAGTTCTATCCACCGATGCTGAACAGTAACAATGCGCGTTATCCATGCATCCGATCCCATCTTTCAACGTACAGGACGCTGGGAAGCTCAAACCACTCGTTCTATTCTAGCCTCTTGGGCAGGAGCATCCTTGTCTTTCATATGGCATGGGAAACGGTCCTTGCGACTTCAAACAGGCCCGGCTACAGAACGCAAGGACCGTTTCAACGGTGGAACTCCGAACCTTTGCTTCAACGCACGACCAATGCGAAAAGGGGATTCATTCATGCGGACATACGATGTTGATGGTGCTCAAGAGGTTGAGCTATCCAAGTCAATTGACGAGCCGGCCATCGTCGAAATTATGCTGATAGATTGGGCGTCAACGTTGGAACTGGAATCGTTACTTATCGATGAGGTTGTGCTTCCCTTTATCTCTGGTCTATGGCGGAGTTGACCTGCATTCGTCCATAGAACGACGACATCGAGGCATGTCACTATGATCCTTGCCGATCCGTTGAAGCCATATTCATTGGCGACTCCATGTCCTGCGGGTGGACAGACGGATCGAGTGCATTACCTTATGGGTGCTTGTCGGCTTACCCGTATGCGCTCCAGAGGTGCCTTGGACAGGACGGAACCGAACTTTTGATTGATCTGGTTGCATATCCTGGCTTGACCCTCACTGACCGCGCTGGTGAGGTTGGAATGCAAACGAAATTCTTTCACGTGCGTAAAAAGCATTGAATTATTCTGTCCGAGGCTCATGAGCACCACAGGCTTCTCCTTGGGACACTCGCGATATATCGATCACTCCCAAAAGAGTGTCGATCGCGCTAATAGCGCTAGGTAGATCTATCCCCTCGACTTCTCTATGGTCATAATCTGAGTATCTCTAGGTACAAATGACGATGCTCAAGACGTGCCATTTTCCCATTTTTTGTCGAGCATGATATCATTCGTAAGTCGCCTCGTCACGATACTCGGTGCATCGTGTAAACATATCTATCTCGTCGTGAGGGTCTTGCGTACTTCTCTCTCCGACCAGCACTTCAACTGATGTATTGGTGTCTAGGAGCCCTTTCCCGATTTCAATGAACCCGAGCCTGTCAGCGCCTATGACATGGGATTGGTGATCGAAAATTTGTCAGCCTGCTACCCCGAGCGGGTCTTTCGTCTTTTGCAGATCAACCACCTGATTTGCAAAGATGATACTATGGATGGCCTTCATCTGACACCCTCGGGTCATGAAAAGCTGGGCAATGCTTTGCAAGCCAAGTTGCGGCCCATTACTGGTAGCTACAATTAGAATTCCATCTCTTGTTGGAATGATGACCATTCGCATTCATGCAGATTCACTGCTGGCGACTGAATCTCAAATACCGTATGTCACATCAGAATTGCTTGCAGCGATAGAGGCTGGTGTCGTTCTGCGAGATCAAGGACCGTCAAAGACGGTAAAAGTGTC